GTCCAAATCCAATTAAAGAATCAAATTCTGTACTCAGTTAACATTAATACCGCTTCACTGATGTGATTATAAGATAATATAAAAGATCTTCCTATATATCAGGTCAAATAATCATCTCTCTACTCCCAGCACTATAGGTACCAAAATCTGTATTAGTCAGGACATTACCAGAAACAGATCCAGCAGAAGATACATATTAAGAGATTTATTTTAAGAAATTGGCTTATGTGATTGTGGGATCTGACTGGATAAGTACAGTCTGAGGGGCAGGCCTGCAGGCTGGAAACCGCTGGGTGGGAGCTAATGCTGCAAACCAGAGGTAGAATTTCTTCTTCAAGAAGACTTCAGTTTTGGGGCGCCTGGGTGGCTCAGTGGTTAAAGCCTCTGCCTTTGGCTCAGGTCATGATCTCAGAGTCCTGGGATGGAGTCCCGCATTGGGCTCTCTGCTCAGCAGGGAGCCTGCTGCCTGCCTCTCTGCCTACTTGTGATCTGTCAAATAAATTAAAAAAAAAAAAAAATCTTAAAAAAAAAAAAAGAAAACTTCAGTTTTGCTCTTTAAAGCCTTCCAATTGATTGGATGAGGTCTACTCATATTGTGGAGGACAATTAACTTTGCTTAAAGTCAGCTGCTTGTAGATGTTAACCATATCTACAGAATGCCTTCACAGCAATACCTAGATCGGTGTTTGAATAACAAGAGACTGTAGCCTATAGCTAAGTTGCCGCATAAAACTAACCATCACAGACAGTAAATTGAGAAAATTTTTTGAAGAAAATTTAGGAATATATAAATATTGAGAAAGCTTATGTACTGCAAGTAAACTTCTAGAAGTTTTCCTAGGAAAATAAATTGATGTGTGTATGAAGATGTATGAAACAGTCATATAGTGTAGATTTTTGTTTGTTTGTTTGTTTGTTTTTTAGATTTTATTTATTTATTTGACAGGGACAGATCACAAGTAGGCAGAAAGGCAGGCAGAGAGAGAGAGAGAGAGGGAAGCAGGCTCCCCACCGAGCAGAGCGCCCGATGTGGGACTCTATCCCAGGACCCTGAGATCATGACCTGAGCCGAAGGCAGCAGCTTAACCCACTGAGCCACCCAGGTGCCCCAATATAGTGTAGTTTTATAGAAAAGGATGAAAAACTGAAAAAGTTTCCCAAATACCTGTTGGACATTTTAGAAATAAAGTACAAACATACAAACAATTACTATACATTCATTAAAATTAATAGTGTGGAATAATATTAATACACATAAATGTTTTTATTATATTATTAAATTAACAAAGGCAAACTCTGAGTTTATGTGTTACATTCTCAAGTTTGAGGAACATTTTATCATAATATGAAAGTTTTAAATTGCAATACAATAGTAATAGTTCCTTCTGGAAAATGCAAGTCATTGTGCTTTTCCTTTTTTATACTTTCAAAATTTTATGCAATATTTTCTAATAAATATAATTAGAATAAAGTATATGCTATCATCAAAGGAAAATAATGCTGTCATTCATTAAACATGTATTTTATTTCTGACAGTATCTTGTAAAACTGCTCGTTATTTAGCATATACTGTAGTGTTTGCCACACACAAGGCCCTGCTGAAGGTTTGAGGATATAGGAGTAACATAACAAAGGCCTCTTTTTCCTCATGCTGTTGACATTGTGGTGAATGAACTATAATCTCAGTAGAGAATAACATGATCAAAATGCCCAAAGTAGAGACGCTTAAAAATCTGGTATTGAACTAAGCTCTCATTCTCAACCATAGACAGACAAAGCCTTTAAAACTCTAGTTTATTCATTTCTCTTCCAGCTTTCCCCATTTCTCAAAATCCACATTTGTAATATCTATTATTCTTCCCTCTTCCTACCATAATGATCTTAATCACACAGCGGTCAATTTCTGAGTATTTCTACTCTGCATTTGTGTGTAGTCTGTGCTACACAACTTAGAACCATGATGTATTAATATATACTGTATGTCACATTTCTCCTTTTTGGTCTCTAGTCAGATCCCTAAGAAGAAATACCACAGTTGAATATGGACTAAGTGCAAATATTTAAATGAAGAAAAAAAATTCTCATTAGAATAAAATATTAGAAAATATTATAATTTGTAATATAAATATGTAATACATATGTATATGTATTTAGATACAAAATTTAATGGAGTAAATTTCTAACATCTAAGTGGCTTTATGCAGTGATTCATGAATTACACAGTAGTCAGTCTAGCAGATAGAAAGGAGCTCTGAAGAGCTATGCAAGGCAAAGGATTTTATAGTCAGAAGGGAACAGAGACAAGGAAATCATACCAGGCCAAAAAAAAAAAAAATGCTTTATTTATTTTTCTTAAAGGGGATGGAGAGGGTTATCAAGCAGATTACCTAACTAATGTTAATCAGGGAATTCCAAATTGGTTGGTTTAAGTTTCCATTTCTGAGAGCTCTGAAACGGTAATTAAGTCTTGGTTTGGTGACATGGAGGCTTAGCATAAATGAATCCATTCTGGATCTGTTGTCTTCAAAAATTAGATGTTGGTTAAATTATGAGTTTATGTTGCTTGTGTAGTCAGGGAAAAAAATAGAGAGAGAACATATATATATACATATATATATGTATACGTACACACATATATATATAATTTTAAGTTATCTTTTCAGTTATTATAACCAAAGGCCAAATAAATATGTTTGATAATTTAATGGGTTTCATTTGCTTAATGAAATATGGGAAAGGAGTTCATTAACAGAGTATCAGTGAATAATTATTATTGCTATTTTAGTATCACAAAGCAGTACAAATTGTTTTTCCAAACATTAAAATTTGAAGATTGATTGGAGTAAAAGTAGTTGTGCTTTTTATTTTTATCATTTAATGAAAACTTCCTAGAAGCTGTATCCTCCCTAAGATATTTTTAACAGCTTAATTGTAAGAAGTAATTAACCCAGAAAGCTTCTAGTTTGCTTCTAAATACAGAATCCAAGAATATCAAATGGGTTCTAAAAATGTTCAACACATTTTTCTCCCAAGTTCTTAATATACAGAGAAACATTATTGTTTCAAAACTTTTCAAAACTTTCTTTATGAAAGCATTAATATTGTCTGCAAGGCTATACCTGATCTTAGTTTTATTAACTTTGTATCATGGTATAGATAGAAGGGGGATGTAAAAAAAAACTCCAGATATTTTTTTAAGAAAAAAAATGCATTTGCATCATAAACATGATTTATTTCATTGTTCCTCTTACTTATGCAGTACAAAGGTGCCTTAATGTGTGTACAGTTGTGTGTGTGTGTGTGTGTGTGTTTGTATGTATTCACATATGTAGAACAGACTTTCTGGGGTCATGAAAACATTACTAAAATTGACCATATGCTTGGCTATGCCTAAGTGAATAAATTTCAAGAATTAGAAGCAAACAGAGAATATTCTTTGAATAAACTTAATTGAGCTTTTATAATATTTTATAATACAAAAATAACCAGAAAATCCCTGCACAATTCTGAGTAATTCTTGGACTAAAGAAAAAAATCACAAAAAAATTAGAAAATATTTTGAATAGATGATGAGAAGGAACTTTTTGTACATAGGTAAATTTAGTCTTAGAAAGAAGTTTACAATCTTGAGAGCATGCATTAAACACACTAGAAGCAGGAGAGTAAATTAAGCCCAAAGAAAGTGAAAAGAAGAAAATCATAAAAATAAGAGCAGAAGTTAACGGAGTAGGAAACAAACAGAATGGCAACTATCAACAATGCCAAAATTACACGTTTTTTGAAATTTGCTACTCCCTACCAAGACTAATCTGCAAAACAAATAAAATGAGAAAAGGTACAAATGGCCAATATCACAAGAAAGAGAGATCATTAGAGTCCCAACACCAATTATATTTTATTGGCAATAATATTTGGCATGATTTTATTTTAAGCAAATATTTTTGATAAATAAAAGTATTTTATGCCAATAATTTTGAAAATGAAGATTAAGTGAAAATGTTTCAAGAAGAAAACAAAATTTAATAAAATGGACATGATAATACATAGGTAACTGCATTGATGAAGTACATTGCATCCATATTTAATACCTTCCTCAAAGAAAACTCCAAGTCCAGGTGACTATATTAGTGAATTCTACAACATATTGAGCGGTAGATATAATATTACATAAACTTTCTGAAATAATATAAGGACAGCATAATCTTGACACCAAAATTTTATAAGAGCAATACAAGCCAGGAAGTTTGAGGGCACTCTGTTTAACATATATATTCTTTAAAATATAGAAAAGTGAAACCTGTGTCATATAAAATCAACATATTTTATGACTAAGTAGATTTATTTCAGGAATGCATTCAAACATTCAAAAAATAGTGAACATACATAATTCATCACAGCAAAAAGAAAAAAGGAAAAATGGTTATTTGATAATCTCATTCAAAAAGCTAACAAAGTAAGAGGATTTATACTACAAATATCTGGATTCAATAAAAAGTATCAGTATTTCAGACAGTGTGATATTGGTGCAGGGGTAGAAATAATGGACCAATAAAACCTAGAAATATACACACACACACACAAACACACACTCCTATAGGCAAAGGTATATTGTATGCAGGATAACCATATTTAAACCTGATTCCTTACAATATTTTTCACTCACAGAAAATTTAACACTGTTAAAAAACTGAAGTAGGATTTTACACTCTAATGTCATTTTAGTCATGATGAGAATGATCTGTTTATTATCAGGATTTATTTGTTTCATTAAGTGATTGCCATGATTTGTTTTGCCTGTCAAAATTTAACTTTGTATTTATGTACTTAAAACATTGTTTCTAATTTAGAACAGATTAATCTACTTCTGGCTTTATTGTTTTTATGGTGAGATAATCTATTTACTTAAATCTTTCTTCTTTTGTTAATAGCTTAATTGGTCAGACAAATGTTTATACAATACATGCTAAAACCATAATTTTTTTTTTCCTAAATGGTTGCAGGCAAGAATTTGATCCATGTAGAGCTGAATTGACTATTCTAGGGAGGACTATAAAGGCAAGTGAATCTGTCAATCACGTATCTGGAAAACCCTTGCCAGAATCAGGATCTCTCTTTATTGGTGGATTTCCGTATCTTCATGGTGCAAATCAGGTATTTCTGTTGGTATTTTAAAATACATTGTGGGGTGCCTGAGTGGCTTAGTTGGTTAAGCGTCTCATTCTTGATCTCAGATCAGATCATGACCTCAAGGTTTTGAGTTCAAGTTCTGCATTGGGCTCCACACTGGATGTGGAGTTTACTTAAAAATATATTGATATATATAGATATAGATATGTAATATACAAAATGTCATTTTATGAAAAACAAAAATTGGAAAACTTTAGGAAAGCTCCCCAGTTAAGTGGAGCTATTTTCATGGTTTCAAAAGAAACTATCAAAGACTGAAACAGGAAGAAATAGACAATCTGACTAGACCAATACCCAGTAATGAGATTGAAAGGGTAATCAAAAACCTTCCAAAAAACAAGAGTCCAAGGCCAGATGGCTTCCCAGGGGAATTCTACCAAACATTTAAAGAAAAAAACATACCTACACTACTGAAGCTGTTCCAAAAAAATAGAAACGGAAGGAAAACTTCCAAACTCATTCTGTGAGGCCAGCATTATAGTGATCCCCAAACCAGACAAGGACCCCATCAAGAAAGAGAATTACAGACCAATATTCCTGATGGACATGGATGCCAAAATACTCAGCAAGATGCTAGCTGATAGTATCCAACAATACATTAAAAAGATTTTTCGCCATGACCAGGTGGGGTTTATTCCTGGGATGCAAGGATGGTTCAATATTCACACATCAATCAATGTGATCACATTAACAAAAGAAAAGGAACAAGAACCATATGATCCTCTCAACTGATGCAGAAAAAGCATTTGACAGAATACATCATCCTTTCCTGATTAAAGCTCTTCAAAATACAGGGAACATACCTCAATATCATAAAAGCCATCTGTGAAAATCCCAGAATGACTATCATTCTCAATGGGAAAAAACTGAGAGCTTTTCCCTTAAGGTCAAGATCATGACAGGGATGCCCAGTCTCACCACTGTTGTTCAACATAGTATTAGAAGTCCTAACCTTAGTAATTAGACAACAGAAAGAAATAAAAGGCATTCAAATTGGCAAAGAAAAAGTCAAAGTGTCTCTTTGAAGATGACATGATACTTCATGTGGAAAACACGAAAGACTCCACCCCCAAATTACTAGGACTCACACAGCAACTCAGCGACGTGGCAGGATACAAAATCAATATGCAGAAATCAGTTGGATTTCTTACACTAAACAATGTGACTGAAGAGAGAGAAATTAAGGAATCAATTCCGTTTACAATAGCACCAAAACCCGTAACATACCTAGAAGGAAACCTTACTAAAGAGGTAAAGGATTTATACTCTAGAAACCACAAACACTTAATGAAAGAAATTAAAGACACTAAGAGATGGAAAAATATCCATGCCCATGGATTGGAAGAATAAACAGTGAAAATGTGCTGCTCAGAGCAATCTACACTTTTAGTGCATTTCAAAATACCATCGACATTTTTCACAGAGCTATAACAAACCTAAAATTTTATGAAACCAGAAAAGACCTTGAATCACCAGGGGATTATTGAAAAAGAAAACCAAAGCTGGGGGCATCACAATGTCTGACTTCAAGCTATATTACAAAGTTGCTATCATCAAGACAGCATGGTATTGGCACAAAAACAGACACATAGTGGAACAGAATAGAGACCCCAGAAATGGGCCCTCAACTCTCTGGTAAACTAATCTTCGACAAATCAGGAAAGAATACCCAATGGAAAAAGGACAGTCTCTTCAATAAATGGTGCTGGGAAAATTGGACAGACATATGCAGAAGAATGAAACTGGACCGTACTCATACCATACACAAAAATAAATTCAAAATGGATGAAGGACCTAATTGTGAGACAGGAATCCATCAAAATCCTAGAGGAGAAATAGGCAGTAACCTTGTTGACACTGACAACAGCAACCTCTTTTAAAACACGTCTCTAAAAGCAAGGGAAACAAAAGCAAAAATAAATATTTGGGACTTCATCAAGATAAAAAGCTTTTGCACAGCAAAGCAAACAGTCAACAAACCTAAGAAACAATCAACAGAATGAGAGAAGTTATTTGCAAATGACATTACAAATAAAGGGCTGGTATACAAGATCTATAAAGAATTTCTCAGGGTACCTGGATGGCTCAGTTGGTTAACTGGCTGCCTTTGGTTCAGGTCAATGATCCCAGCGTCCTGGAATCGAGCCCTGCGTCGGGCTCCTTGCTCATTGGGAAGTCTACTTCTCCCTCTCCCTCTGTCTACTGCTCTGCAGGCTTGTACTCTCTCTGTGTCTCTCTGTCAAATCAATCAATCAATTAATCAGTCTTTAAAAAAAAAAAAGAACTTCTCAGACTCAACACCCAAAAAACAAATAACCCAGTCAATAAATGGGCAGAAAACATCAACAGATACTTCTCCAAAGAAGACATACAAATGCCTAACAGACACATATAAAAATGTTCAACATCACTAGCCATCAGGGAAATACAAATCAAAACTACAATGAGATCCTACCTTACACCAGTTAGAATGGCCAAAATTAACAAGACAGGAAACAACAAGTGTTGGTGAGGATGTGGAGAAAGGGGAACCCTCTTACACTGTTGGTGGGAATGCAAGCTGGTACAGCCACTCTTGAAAACAGTTACGGAGGTTACTTAAGATGCTAAAAATAGAGCTACCCTATGACCTAGCAATTGCACTAGGAGGTATTTACCCCAAAGATATAGGTCAAGTGAAAAGAAGGACCACACGCACCCCAGTGTTCATAGTAGCAATGTCTACTGTAGCCAAACTGTGGAAGGAGCTGAGAGGCCCTTCAGATGAATGGATAAAGAAGATGTGGTTCATACATACAGTGGAATATTACTCAACCATCAGAAAGGATGAATACCTACCATTTGCATCAACACAGGTGGAACTGGAGGGGATTATGCTAAGTGAAATAAGTCAAGCTGAGAAAGACAGTTATCATATGGTTTCACTGATATGTGGTTATAAGAAATAACATGGAGGATCACAGAAGAAGGGAGGGAAAACTGAATGGAAGAAACCAGGGAGGGAGACAAACCATGAGAGACTCTGGACTCCGGGAACCAAACTAAGGGTTACAGAAGGGAGGGGGATTGGGGGATGGGGTAGCCAGGGGATGGGTATTAAGGAGAGCACATAGGGTCATAAGCACTGGGTGTTATACACATCTAATGAATCATTGAACACTTCATCAAAAGCTAATGATGTACTATATACTGGCTAATTGAACATAACAATAACAAAAATAAAATATCATGCAAAAGTAAAAAGAAATTTTAAGCAATTCTACCAACATATGTGACTTCAAAAAGTTTATTGTTCTCATTACACAGAATTGCTCTGGTATCAGGCTGTTTTTCCATCTAATAGCTGTATATTTATGGGCTTTTGTTCACTCCTGTGCTAGTGATTTCACTGGATTTATGAGTGGGTTGGGTTAAAAACATACCACAAGTCTGATTTGAGAAATGGAAATAGAAGACCATTCCCAGTCTCCACTTCATATGGGGTTACTAAAATGTAAAAACATTCTCTACAGAGTTTTGTGCATATGCCAATGCAGTCTCTAAATTTCCATTTAGATAATTAGCTTATTGTCTTCATTATGAACCTATATTTTTAGGTAAGAGCTTGCATGCTGATTTAAATGCTATTGATTATTGACTCCATTTTATGTTATTACAGAGAATTACTTTAAAAATTTAAGGTTGCTTGTTAATTGTATCAATAGCTTATTACATTTTTTAATCTTTTACTGTATTTATCATTGTACTTTACATATTTGAACATACTGTTTTTATTATTAGAAATCTGAAATGCTCTTATTTCAAAGCCCCACAAGTATTATAAATTGGGTATAAATTTCACAATATTATAAATGTTATGACTCTATTTTATGTAGGCTAAAAATTTTCAAAGTAGATATACATAAAGAACAAAAGTCACTTGCATAGTTGATGTGACATAAATGCTTTTAATGAAATGAAGGAAATTTTGTCTCTAAGCATGCAGACATTATATTAAATTCAGCTTTACTCCATTAAACTTTTGTGACTTTTTCTATAGTAATGTACTTCACTGACTTTTTCCTAGATAAGCCTATAAGCTCTATAAGAGTAGCAATGTCTGTTTTGTTTACCTTTTTATATCTCAAGGCAAGGACAGTTTCTGTCACATAGTAGGTGCTTGATAAACATCTGGTAAATGTATGATCAATTAAAGAGTGGATGATAGGATTCCAAAAACTTACATAAATTAAACTTTAGTCATTTATATTTAAATTGGTTTCGGACTTCACAGCTTTATATATATTTACTAAGGAAAAGATGAGTTTTCATATAGAATTTAATTTTTGTGGGCATACATTAATTAAATGCAGGTTCTCAAAACTCAAGGAGCTAGTATTCTGTTGAGAAGATATAGAAATGTCTCTATAAAGTTGGGTATTTAGTCTAATAGAAATATGAAAATATGCAGGGACAATACAGAAAAATAGAAAAGGAATCCTCTTAATCTCTCTGGAGGAATAAGAGTTGGTAGTGAGGCATAGATGTAAGGGATGATCAAGTGTCTACAAGGTAAATAATATGGAGACTATCATTCTGGGCCCCATGAAACATCACACACACATGCTTAGGTAATGGAAAGACCTAGGAGAGGGGGAGTTTGAATAGAAATAACTCATTATTTCGGAGGCATGGAGTTTGGTGTGAATTGAGCAGGAGGAAAACTTGATGTTGAAAAAGTTGAGCAGGAGTCTGAACATAAATGGATCCTGTATATAATGTGAAATAATATATATTTTAATATTGGTATATATGGAAGCCATGTAAGAAATTTGAACAAGGACTGATCTGATGTAGTTTTCTCTCTGATAGCAACTGAAGTTATAGGATTAGAGGGGTTTAGACTGCCAGTCAAGAATTGGTAATGTTAGGACTAATATTAATGAATATTAAATGTACATTGAATATTAATATTAATAAGAAAA